TTAATTATTTGCTACAAGTTTAGCCGTCGCTATATGCGACGGCGGGTACCTGTGTGGTCCGTGGAGAGAAAGTTTGACGACCTCCCCGTGGTTCTCTCTGGATGCTTATTCACTGCAAAGTGAATTAGTAACTAATGTCAAACGTTTTGAAATTAAATTAATTAACTGGTTTTCAGCATACTTACAGAATTAACATTTTCAGACTGTTGAAAAATGGTGAACAACTATGTTTGGTGTAGAGACATTGATGCCGCCATGGAGTTTCTATACACAAGTAAGTATGAACCATTTACGTCCCAATGAACATGACCGTTATACTCACATTCACATTTACTTTTAGATTTCGACGGATATGGACGCAATTCGTGCAACACCATGGGTCACAAGTCTGTAGCGAGCTGTGACTATGTTTTAAATATTATAAATACTCATTCCAGTAAATCCCTCCAGTAGTTCTAAATATACAGAAGAAACCCGATATGCTGAAGGAGGCCTACGACGCATCTATTGCGCGTGACCTCGAAACGTATATGTTAATAGATATATAACTACTTATATGAATATTATTAAAATAGTTCACATTAAAAGTGTTGTGTTGCCTCAATAGAGATGACAACGACCAGATAAGCAAGGGACATCCGGCGTGTGCAGCGCGTGGCAGACCACGGAATGACCTTATATGGTAAAGTAGTAGGATAATAGGCAGGGATATGATCCAAGGATCACCATTATAAAAACGTCGCTCGAATAGACTTCGGCAGACGGACCAACACCAACGACAAGCTAGGAGCTAGGATACGAAAGTCACATCTCGCTAGTCTTCATTATTTAAAATAGTCATTTTGGACTTAGTAAATTTATTGTGTTTTGTATTAATTAAATAAAAAGTATTCAAATTATAAAGAAAAACCAAACTCTTGTTCATTTATTCTCAACACCATCAAACGAGCGTAGTCAGATTGTTACAAGTCTAGCAAGCTGTGTTCGAGGTTTTTGGTTTCCTGGAGACTTTTCGACACAACACTGAGGTTATTATGAATAGTGCATTAGTATTTGTTCATTTCCCACACACATCAAAACCACCAATATGTGTTTCATTTGTATTAATCACAACTTAATACTCTTATAACAATTTACTTTCTCATTGACCAAATGCGTTTAATAATGTTTATATTTTATTGTAACACCTTATATTCATGAGTATACATCAGTATCGATATTATACTATTATATATTAATACCTGAGAGCTATTATATGTTGTGTGTGTTATTCTTATGCACTATACAATTTAATATTTTAGTCATGTTCTCAGGTTAATTCATTATCAGAAATATTTCATTGACTTTTATTTTTAATGTTTAACTACCCCGTGTTTAATTCATATATTCACATAATATCTAGACACAATACTCTTATACGTATAACACACTCATTTTAACTTAAACTAATATGCGTTCCAAAAAATGCATAGACCTTATTAGATAGACCCAATAATATTGCCTTAATAGTGTTATTAACTTTTTTAATGGTTTCACAAAGATATATACTGACGTTGTGCTTAAAGTATTTTTACCAAACAAAATGACAAATTTGATTCTGCGATCACTCTTTTAAAAACTGCATTACACTATAAGCTTAATCATTAAATTAATTAACTGGTATATTGTATTTTTAGGCTGTTTTGTGTGGAAACATTGAGATACAAACCACAACATGCCAGGCCAACACAGCACTGCTACCTTCAACAGTGGTATTATTGGTTCAGTTCCCACTCTGTGTTACATTCATGTTAACCACGAATGAAAACCCTTAGAAACATTTTTGAAATGACAACCAACAAAATGACAAATGCTTTTAACGTATAGCCTAATGTATGTATTTCTTTTACTATTGTTTAACCTTATATTGTCAAAAAAGACAAATTTAATTCTGTGATCACTGTAAATATTATCTCGGTATTTAGCTTAAAAGATTAATTATATTATTATATAACCTTATATTTGTACTTCAATGTCTATGGACAACTGTCGAAGTACTATATCTATATATTATAGAAATTGCCATATTTTGTAACATGCCGTATCACTACCTATTTATTCAATCGCAATTGTAAATACCTTTTAACTATGTAACATTGTGTTCGTACTGTAAAATACCTACAATACATTGAATTTTTTATTTCTTATTGTCGATACCGTGTGTAGGTAAATACACTTTTGTTTTATGTGCTTATGATATGTTGGTTGTTATGAATGTAGTATTTCGATTATTATACATATTATTATTACGTTTGATTATACTTATTAGTTATTGTATTATACTATCTATGTAGCACGTGGCTAATAGCTTGGAACACATCTTATCACATGAAAAAAAAGTTGTCATTACACTAATTGGTGCTGATAAACAGTGTTATGGTTTAATTATTGCAATTAGTCTAATGACCGTTACCAAGTTATTTGAACAGCACCAACATATTATAATCATCACCAATGATATAATATACTAATTGTCACAGGTAACACGTAACTACTTTACATTCTCAATAACAACAACAATATTATTTATTATTATAAATTACTTTTTAGTGTGTACATTATTTTATGTAACAACAATACGATTATTTACCAGTCAGTATTAACAACAATGTACACAATACAAATATTTTCAATTGATTACAACACTTGCCCGACAATGTCATTACAATGTGGGATTTTATGAAACTACTAAATTTAAACACCAGTGGACTACAATTATAATGATAAATTAATTATCTTTTAGCACATTTTGTGAAGTAAACTCTAAATAAAATCAAGACAAGGTTTTCAACACTTACATTCCAAACCAGCAACACACATCACTTACCTATTTGATTATTATTACTACTTCTACTAATAATATATTACTGTTGTTATCCACTACTAAAATATTTAATGACACACCTCACACACAATTGTCAATTGACAAACGTACAGTTACATTACAGTTCATAAAACAATTGGGAACAAGGAAATAATAAATAATAAAAGTTACACAAAAGTATGTATAAAGCAACATTTATTCATTCTGAAATTTTTTAAAAAAAATACAATGTTAAATAAATTATGAAGTAGACAAAATCGTCCAATTGAAACTTACCATTCTTTACCGTCCGATGAGACGTGCCACCGCCCGAACACACTGAAAATGATGTATATAATTTTTTTATTTTAATATTTTCAGTTCTATAATATTGACTATTCTTACGTTGGACTCACTGCCGGCTTCGGGGTCGAGGCCGCGGCCGGCGACCCCTCCACCCCCACAATCAATGGTTGGACAAAACTACTGAAAACAATACATTTTATGTTTTTGATGATTGACATATTTTGGTATTTGCGATCTTACCTTCCACCACGGCCCCGCCGCCTCGACCCTCGCTGAGGTTGCTGCTGCTGCTGCTGTTGTTGTTGCTGATGCTGTTGTTGTTGTTGCTGCTGCTGTGGCCGCTGCGAGGACGCGCCCGACGGTGTCCCAGGTACCACGCAGGGGGAGTCCGATAAATAAAATTTACAAAAAGCTTATAGCACATGACAAAATAAATAATAGGACAAACTTACCACAGTTTCTAGCGATGTGCCCCAACTGCCGGCACCTGTAACATCCTGAAACGTACAAATCATGTTTAGTGTTATACTTGGCTTATGCAATACGCATGTGCTTTTTTTATTAGATACGCACGGGCACAGCCGCTGCACCGTGGTACACTGGTGCATTGTACACCCACATACCACGGCCGTTATAATGCTGGTGGTGGCTGACTGGTGCGTCTTTCGGCATGCTAGATTTCAAAAAAAAAAAAAAATTGTTTTATTCAAATACGTATGAAGTAACCTAAGAAATATTATTTTAGTACTATAATCGACGTGTGCTCACTTGACAGATTTTTGATAAATGATTGAAAAAAACCAAACAACGTGCAGCTGGCTATGCATTAGATGTCCCTTGACGCGGTAAAAATAGCAGCCAATCAGAAAATTAGATTCTGTCGACTTATTTGTTATAACCGCGAAAACATAACATTGATTACAGTGATTACAATGAAGCATAACACCTGATAACTGTTCTCTATAATTATCGAAAAATACACTTTTGTTATCTCCTGTATGCTTTTTCAGATTTCAACAGCCGTTTCGAGCACTTTTTGCTGTAGGCGGATTGTCCGTTCGGGAATCGACTTTCACCCGAGAAGACTGATAGCTAGAGACTCAAACTCGGAATCCGAATTTCCGACTTACGACTAGACACTCTTCCAATTTCAAAAATTACCGCTTAACCAGTGCTGCCAACACGACAAAACACAATACCCGACGACCCCGCGTTCCCGCCGCAGGCCGGATCAAAAAACCCAGCATCGC